AAAAGGGGCTTGCAAAGGGCTTGAAAGGGGCTTGCAAAGGGGCTTGCAAAGGGCTTGAAAAGGGGCTTGCAAAGGGGCTTGCAAAGGGGCTTGCAAAGGGGCTTGAAAAGGGGCTTGCAAAGGGGCTTGAAAAGGCGCGACAGGAAAAGAGCTCACAGAGCTCAAAGGCGCCAGAGCTCACAGGCGAAAGAGCTCAAACGCGCGAGAGGAAAGTCTCCAGACGGGATTGGCGAAGAGGGGAGGGCAGCTTGAAGGGCTAAGTTTAGAATATCTTTACTGAGTTCCACAGAAAAGAGCTCACAGAGGCGCGAGAGGAAAGTCTCTCGCAGAGCTCACAGGCGAAAGAGCTCAAACGCGCGAGAGGAAAGTCTCCAGACGGGATTGGCGAAGAGGGGTGGGCAGCTTGAAGAGCACCCCGCGAGTGAAGGGCCTGATGAACAAGTGCTCCACAAGGCCCTGAGCGACTTGAATGAATTCATCGTCCGAATAGCGCCTGTCAATGATGTCACCAATGATCTCATCAGCTGTCTTCTCCGCTTCTCCGTCAGCGAGTGCCTGTGTTTTGGTGAGAAAAGTCCTCAAAGAGACCTTGAACGCATTCAACTGATCGGAATCCTCGCGCAAGACTTGAAACATTCCAGGCATGGAAAGAAAAAGAAGGATCAAGCCACAGTAGTGATCAAAGTTGACAGCAGGGATAGACTTGCGAACACGATTGAAGAGATCCTTTGCAGTCGGGAGCAACAATGTCTTTGAGACTTCCTGGTCAGCTTCGGAGGACTCGGTGATCAAATCAGACTCATCACCAAACGTCTTTTTGTAGACAAAGATATAATGGAAGCAACGCTCAACATACATCAAAGAGCAAAAGACCCGTTTCCCTTGCAAGAAGTAACACGCCCCGTCAGCCAGACGGTATGAAAAACGAGCCATGTCATCGAAAAGGAGACTATTGGAGGTTTGGGAGTGGGAAGCAGCCATGCATCGATGGTGGAAACTCAAGAGATACGGGAGGTAATTGAAATGAACGAGGAATCTCCCGAATCCACAGTCAGCATTGAAGAAAACAGCACGGAACAAAGTCTTGGGAGAGATTTTGTCTGAGGGAACATGGACCACAATAGAGCTCTTCTGCCATTCCCAAAAATGGTTGAACAAGACAAGAGGGAGAAAACTCCAAGTATCCTTCACTCTGGGTGTCATCAAAGCCTCAAGACTCTCTTTCAACTCCTTTGGAAGTCCAGCAACAAAAGAAGACAGTTTCGAGCTGAGAACTGAAAAGCAGGAGCTATGCTCATCGAACTTCTTCTGGTATTCCTTAGTCACCCGCTTTCGAATGCGCTCATCATCCATTTCACGGACCGCCCACTCCTCAGCTATCTTCGCAGCCTCATCTTTGGCTTTCCAGTCAGACTCCTCTTGGATATCAGGAAACTCAAGGCTATCCACTTTCTCCCTGACTCCAGTGAACCACTTCTCGTCCGCAAACACGTCATCGACATCATCAAAGTCATCGGAAGAGTTGCCTCCCTCGCTCTGACCCTCAGAAGAGCTGCCACCCTCACTCTCACCCTCAGAAGCGTTGCCTCCCTCACTCTCACTCTCAGAAGCGTTGTCGCCCTCATCATCACTCACTTCATCACGTTTCCTCTTATCCCCAGGATGGAGGACCAAGAACAAGACAGAAAGCAACACTCGTGTATGCTTGTAAACAAACATCTCTCGCGTTTGATGCTTCTCGTGTTTCTCGCGGATTGTTTTAAGCCCTCCTGGTGGAGGGATCAGGGAAACCTAAAAGATTGTAGCTCTCCTCTGGTGGTCTAGAAAAAATAATTGCTGGTAGAGAGAATTTTAAAATTGTACAGGAGAGAAAATATTTTTGGTTTTATATAGATATTATTTTTTAGATTGTTGCAGCGAGGCCTCTGTCAGCCAAGAGGGTAGAACCACCCCCCTGCTATGAGTACCCCCTGTTTGCTGTAGAGACTACCCCTGATGGTCCGTGTCAGCCAAGAGGGTAAAACCACCCCCTGCTATGAGTACCCCCTGTTTGCACTTGAGACTACCCCTGAACGCCCCTGTCAGCCAAGAGGGTAGAACTACCCCCTGCTATGAGTACCCCCTGTTTGCACTTGAGACTACCCCTGAACGCCCCTGTCAGCCAAGAGGGTAGAACTACCCCCTGCTATGAGTACCCCCTGTTTGCACTTGAGACTACCCCTGAACACCCCTGTCAGCCAAGAGGGTAGAACTACCCCCTGCTATGAGTACCCCCTGTTTGCACTTGAGACTACTCCTGAACACCCCTGTCAGCCAAGAGGGTAGAACCACCCCCTGCTATGAGTACCCCCTGTTTGCACTTGAGACTACCCCTGAACACCCCTGTCAGCCAAGAGGGTAGAACCACCCCCTGCTATGAGTACCCCCAGTTTGGGAGAGAGACTATTCAGTGCGTCTCTGCCAGGCAAGAGGCAAACCAGAGGGAGCAAAGAATATTTTCCAGAGAGGAGAAATTTATTTCGAGAGAGCAGAGTTTTATTTGCATCCCTGATTTTTCTTTCCCTTGGAAATGTCTTATTGTCCATGCGAGGCTACGAGCAAATTCATACGACAATACCTAGACAGATTGAAGATAGGAGAGGAAAAGGAAGGGGAGGAGGATGGAAAACTAGGACGAATCAGCGAGAGTCTATTCACCTGCTTCATATATCACATCAAGAGAAACAGCAAACTTTTTGAATACATCAGGAAAGTAGAAAAGGTGTTGGATATCAGGGAGGCGTTGAAGAGATCGCTTTACATCCAAGAGCAGCATTTCAAGAAATGGACGAACTACGAATCAGGAGACCCCAAGTTTCTCGAGTCGAGCTTCCTGTACAGCCGCATGGATCCTGGCATTCAATACTTCCTGCGAGAGAAAGGCATCCCGACGCTCCAGCAAGTCCTGGGCTTCATTCTGATCAAGACATACAAGAGCAAGTCCCCCAGCATCGAATGGAGTACGATTGATGAAGAGTTTCTATCGAAGATCGAGGTAGTGTGATGCTGTGTTGAACCTCTGGACTGATTCTCACGCAGGACAGGCGAATATTACGCAACCTCTACTTCTTCTCCCTGCTCCTGCACATAATTGGGCTATCGGAGCCATGCAAGGAGGTCCCGTTCAACAAGTTCTCGAGGGAGCATATCATAGAACACATCGAGAAGCAATCGGTTTCTCCGTCCAGAACCGATGCGATCCTGGCAGAGAAGCTGGGTTTCAAACCCGCCGGATTGCAGCTGATGGATCATATCGTGAAGGTGATCTTCTGGGCTCTCTGACTTCCCTTGATTGAGCTTCTTGGCAGAAGGATCGATTCGACAAAGTCTATTCTATCCTCGCGTGCTGCGTGCTGATGATCACGATGCTGAATTTCCTGCTGAATGAGCTTGCAGTCAACTGCATCCCCCTGCTGAGACCCTGCTTTGGCAAGGAATACAAGAAGAACCAAGCCATGAACTACTGCTGTGAATTCTTCATCTGTTTTGTTGAGGACATTATCCTCTTCTACCGGGAAAAATGAAGAAGAGACGCGAGATCAGACTTAGAGACTTGTATTAGGGGGAAAATAAAAAAGAAGCAAACTTTTTTAAAAAACCCCGATCACCTCCAGACAGGGATGTTCATATGCCCCGGCACAGAATAGTTCCAGCGATTCCATTGCATGACTCCCTTTCCGCTCCTCAAAGCAAGCTTTTCTATGGAATGCTTCATGGATAACATTTGGATCTCCCAATCCTTCTCCTTAGCTTCCACCAGTTTTCTAGACTGCTTCTTGGCCTCGACAACATCCCCGTCCACCGCCGGGAGACGGAACTTCAACAGATCACTAATGACTTGGGCAAGGTCTCTGGTCAACTCTAGAAGACTCTTGAATTTAGTCTCGTGACCCCAAACGAAAACCGGGTTTTCCTCGATCAATTTCAAGACCTCCAAAGCGTTACGTTTCCCTATCCCGCTGCAAATACTCGTCCCGGGGAAGATTTGACTCTCCTCAAGCATGCATCGAAACACAAAGACGCCCACAAGGGCGTAAATGAAGAGCGAGTCAAAGCCCTCCCCTTTCTTCCCCAACATGAGCGCTTTGACGTAATCTACAGCCCTCCTCCCGCTGCCATCTTCGCCTCTTCTGACGTATTCCCTCAAAAGACTGAGTATGGTTTTTGCTCTGATTGAGATTTCCTCCATTTCATTGACATCCTGGCTATTGAGGACTTTCTTCAACAAGTTCAAGTCATTCGTGTCCCGCTTCTGATTGGCCTGACTCAGATTTCCGCCCGGATTCAAAACATCCCTTTGACTCCGTTTACGTCTTCTCTTGGTTGGGAGCGCATCACTTGGTTCTCCATCAGAAGCATCGGAATGCTCGGAGGACTCGGAGGATGCGGAGGACTCGGAGGATGTGGAGGACTCGGAGGATGTGGAGGACTCGGAGGATGTGGAGGACTCGGAGGATGCGGAGGACTCGGAGGATGTCCGTTACTAATCCAGCGTCAAAAGCGGGCTGCACCAGAGGGGGCTGCATCAGAGGGGGCTGCATGAGAGCGGGGGCATTGCTCCTCAAAAGCGGGCTGCACCAGAGCGGGCTGCACCAGAGGGGGCTGCATCAGAGGGGGCTGCATGAGAGCGGGGGCATTGCTCCTCCTGAGAGCGGGGGCATTGCTCCTCCAGACAGCGGGGGCATTGCCTGGGAGCCCCACGGGCTGAATCAGAGCGGGGGCATTCTCCGGGAGCCCCAGGGGCTGCATGAGAGCGAGCGGGGGCGTTGCTCCTCCAGACAGCGGGGGCATTGCCTGGGAGCCCCACGGGCGGGCTGAATCAGAGCGGGGGCATTCTCCGGGAGGCCCAGGGGCTGCATGAGAGCGGGCTGCATGAGAGCGGGGGCGTTGCCCCCCCACACAGGGGGCTGCATGAGAGCGGGCTGCATGAGAGCGGGGGCGTTGCCCCCCCACACAGGGGGCTGCATCAGAGCCGGGGCGCTGCTCCTCCAGACAGCGGGGGCATTCTCCGGGAGCCCCCCCGATGGAACAAAACGGGGGGTTTCATTCTTGTGCATTCCCATGACAGGTGTCGGCAAATCCAAGGGGGGCAGCGGGGTCATGGCATTGCCCACTCCACGACCAGAAAAATCAACCATTGGACGGATGGCAGGGATGCCCAGAGGGTCGGCTCTGGGATAGAAGGAAGGATGCGTTGACATCGGCACAAGAGACATCCTTTGCGATGAGCTTTATGCTTTATGCTTGGGACATATATATACTTGTCTGAGCAAATGCTGGTGTTCCTCATTTATCCTCTCTATCACCCACAGCCCCCTGCAGAAGCACCTCATTCAATCCTCCTTTGCCTTGATGAAGATCCTAGATCACAGACCAGAGTCACACCTCCCCCCCACAGCCCTGCAGATGCATCACCTCTTGATCGCATCGATGTTTCCACCGCAATAAGGGCAGCACTTGTGAATGTCCAAGTTCAATTCACAGGTCTCGCACGTGACGGCATCGATGTTTCCACCGCAATAAGGGCAGCACTTGTGAATGTCCAAGTTCAATTCACAGGTCTCGCACGTGACGGCATGGCCGCAGGCCAGGACAATCTTCGAGCAACCCTAAGGAGACGAAGACGTGAGACGCACAGCAGCACAAAACAGGGCAGCACAAAACAGGGCAGCACAAAACGAAGACGTGCAGCACAAAACGAAGACGTGAGACGCACAGCAGCACAAAACAGGGCAGCACAAAACAGGGCAGCACAAAACGAAGACGTGCAGCACAAAACGAAGACGTGAGACGCACAGCAGCACAAAACAGGGCAGCACAAACCGAAGACGTGCAGCACAAAACGAAGACGTGAGACGCACAGCAGCACAAAACAGGGGAAAGCACTGAATTACCCGGCCGCACTTGCAGCATTTCACGATCGAACGGTTCGCATCCTGGATCTGATCCAACAGATCCATCCGCTGTTCGAAGAACTCCTTCTTGTTCTTGTCATTGTCATTTCTCTCCTTGACCCAGTCCTTGGTCTTCTGGAGGAGAGCCCTCTCGAGGCTCTCCTTGGCCCGGCGAGTTGTAACGAGTTTCTGCAACACGGCACAGACGCTGATCCCGCTGTCACAACACCACAGGAGCCATTGGACGCTCGCATCGAGGGCCACAGCCCGATTGATATCCAGCTGCCGCATCTCTGAGAGCACCATCTTGCCGAGTTTCAACAGGCCAACATGGACCCGGATGAGGATTTCATCCGAACCCGAGCTCTTGAGCTCCTCCTTGAGCTCCTCATTGACAGCAAGGGGGAGGCACTCCATGGCGGAAAAAAGAGAGGTGTACGGAAACACAACGTGAAGCTTCCTGCAGGCCTCCGGGGATCGCGCGAGGTATGACTCAGCCTCCATCAGGAAATTGCCAAAGCTGAACGTGACCCCAAACGTCGACATCACGCCCTGGCTTTCCTGGGAGAGAATGCAAAGCACCGAACGGCGGACAAGGCCAACTAAGAAATCGTTCAACCCCCTATACGTGTCGAACATGAGCTGCATGTCATCCAAGCTCGAGAGGAACTTCCAGTAGATCAGAAACTGGTAAAGGGACAACATCCCGCCCTTGTCTTTGTCATTCTCCAGAAGCGTGCCCACTGACTTCAAGCGCCCTTCATCGAACATCAAATCCCGGAACTCAGAGCTTCGTGCGCAGAGTTTCGCGAACTCCTTGTGCAACGTGGAGAACAAAATGGAATCATCCGGATTCTCCATGATCTCGAGCACATACCTCCCAGACTTAAGAAGCAGCGCGCTGCTCTCCGCAAACAGCGAGAGATCATCCATCAGCCAAAACAGCTTCAACAGGACGCCACCCTTCCCGCGGTAGACCTGAACCAAGCGCATGAAGTGCTCGACCAGCCGCCTGTTGAGATACGAGATGTCCCGGTTGCCAACCACCAGGGAGCGGTCCCCGGCCAGCTGATCCAGAAAGGCAAGCACCCCGGCCACGCCCCTGGGGAATGGGCGGCAGACCGATATGTACTCCAAAGAGGCGCAGATGAGAAATTGATTCTCCTCCAGATCAAGGCACTCCGACCTCGCCTTCCTGTCCTTAAGCACCCCCATGATCAACTTCAAGAGCATGGACAGCAGAGAAGATCTCTCCTTGGTGCTGAGTCCGCTCTCGGGGACGCCCAGGTAGCTCGCCCACACCTGCTTGAGTGCCCCGTACATCTCGCTGCCGCGCAGCTCATCTGCCGCGCTGAAGAGACCGTCCTCGGATAGGTGCGAGTGAAGCGCCTTCACCCCGATCTTGACAATCCTCCAGCTCGCGAGGTTGCTCCGCACAATCTTGAAGAGCCTGTCTCGTCCCCCGGTGCCCAGCTTCTCTTTGTCCTTCAGATCAACCACCTCTCGAAGGATGTCGTTGTACGAGTTGCGAGCGTCTTCGGCTGCGGTGCCCAGCTTCTCTCTGTCCTTCAGATCAACCACCTCTCGAAGGATGCCGTTGCATGAGTTGTGAGTGTCTTCGGCTGCGGTGCCCTCCTCGCCCCGCCTCCGCTTCCCTAGCTCTCTCTCGTGTTGCATGGCGTTCTCAGCACCAGAAAGAACAGAATATTTTAAAATCCGTGGGTGTTTTTAAAAACTCAATGGCTGACGGGTTATTTTTTAAAATGTGTTTTAAACTATTTTTGAAAAACGAGTTTTAAAAACAACATTAAAACATGTTTTAAAATTACTTTAAAAGAATCACCGGGCAAAACCGCCGCGGCAAACTCGGGACCAGACTGAATGCAGCGATTGAGAACCCCCTCCCCTCCCCCCGCTCGCAACGACGTTGCCGCAGTTCCTCCCCCCGCCAAACGCGCGAGGATGATTGCTGATATCCAGCACAATCGTGCACAGCCAGTGCTCAGGTTCTGCGTCCTGAATCCTGGCAGTCAGATCACACTGCAGCAGATCTTGACTATGTACCACGAGTATGCTACTGAGAGCGCTGCGGAGAACTGAGGGTAGATTCGTGTACTGTTTGTTTTCAGTAAAGCTGTCGAAACGATGGAATCTTTTGGTTTTTTTCACTATTTATTTCAAAACGGATCACGCGTGAGAAACATGGTTGACCAACCCGATGAATGGCTGACAAGTTTCAATTTCCGCTGGTTTGAGACAGGATACCGGTATGAAAGAAAGGATATGCTGCTGGATGCCTTGAATGAGCTCGAGAATGAGGTCTTTGACTTGATGAACGATGAGAGCTTCCTTGTATCGATGAAGATAGTCTCTTTCTTCTTGCTCCAAGTCCTTGATCCTCTCATCGACAAACACCCACAGCTGAAAAGCAATCTCATCCGATCAGAACTCATGGAATCCATTGAAATCTTCAGGCGCTCTGTACAGCCGAGATCGGAGAGGGACCTAGCCATTGCTCAAGTAGTGCAGGCCCACACCGATGTACTCGGGGTAAATTTTGAAGCGAACCTAATCGCGCCCACAATTGCGAAGATGTCACTGAAGGCAGACGCTGCTGAGTTGAAAAAGGGGGTCTTGCAGTGGCAGAGTCTCCTCAACTCTTTCATCTACGGCAATTCTGAACAGACTGAAAAGGACGTTCTGACATCCCTCACCTTCTTCTACGGCGAGGAGTATCCAACCAACCAGAAGAACAACCCCACCAACAACCTCAGAGAAGTTGCTCTGTTGATCTCACTGATCATAAAGTCGTTAGATAAAATCTCGTGGCGTTCATACCAACGAACATATTCGCAAGACCTTCAAGATATCTTGAAAACCAATCACGAGGGCTACGACAGCTACAAATGGTCCTTTGATGGCTACAGGACCACATCCAAACCTGCGTATCAAAGGTTGATCTTCACGGAGCTGGAGGAGCTCATCCCGAACAAAACAAAACCCTCCCACGACCCATACTCCGTCGCATCCCTGCAGGAAACGGCAAAGAAGTTGGATAGTTTCTGTACCTCGATTCTCCAACTATGGAAAAACATGGATCTCGCAAGGCATCACATGGACGTGCGGATCAATCAATCCTCTGTATTGCAGAGAATCCGTGACGTGATAGAAGCTGTGCAGCCTTATCATCGATTCTATCAAGATGACCTGAAAAAACTCCTGCACAGATTCCGACCCTTGTCTTTGATCAATGACAAGTCCACACTGCACTTCAAGCTGATGGATGAGAGTTATCGCTATTGGGATCTAAACAACCCCTTCATCCAGAATCCAGGAACCGCACTTCCCAGCGAAAGGCACTTTTCCGATGCTCTGACCGCAGCTTCACCCGGTGTCTCCCACGACATGGCTGCGGACTTCTACAAGCTGCTGCTAGACACCTTTTATCTGTCATCAAGGGCGATCTGCCTGATCAACACCAAGAGATTCTCCCAGCCTCCAAAAACGAGCCTCAACCTCCGCTCACACCACCCCCTCCCGGAATCGCGGCCCCCTCCCAGCTCCCTATGGCGCAACTTGCTTTATGCCCCCCTCGTGTACCCCGTGGTCCACTGGCAGTTGAATCCTCTTCTTCGGAGGAAGCCCGGTTACATCCGCTATCCCATCATGGCCGGTGCCAGCATCGGCGGTGCAGCGGCGATCGGGGCTGCCGCAGCCCGCTCCCGTGAGAGAGCCGGAAATGTTTGAGGCTTTTGATTGTGTTATTGCAGGGATACCTTGATCATAGCTCTCAAGTTGGTGCGAGATGATCTCTGTTTGAACGAGGTTGAGAGCCGAGTTGTGTCTTCCAGGCATGACAAACTCTTTTGACAAATTTTTTTTATCCTTTATACGACAAAAGGATTCCCCAGGGAATCACAAGATTCATAAACGCAAAAATTGTATCAAATTTATGATAAGTAATGTACCCTAGTGGTGAATGTTTTTTGTTGAAAAAAAGGATATAAATGTGATGGGTATATTCAAATTCGAAAGCTGACCCAGTGAATAAAAAAGATGTGATGTTTTGATACATTCAATACAAAAAGGGAAACATAATACACGAAGATCAAGCGTTGGGGGTTGAAATGGTGTTGCTCCACCAAATGTTTCAAGACCCTATTTGTTCCTGGGATGTCAATGCAGCCATGAATATATTACT